CCGCCGCCGCCCCCGCCCCCCACCTTCGATCCCCGCAGCGAGTTTGAGCAGATGACCATCCTCTATGACATTTGGAATTCAGGCCTGGACTTGGAGGACATGAGCTACCTGCGGCTGACGTACGAACGGCTTCTGCAGCAGACTAGCGGGGCCGACTGGCTGAACGACACCCACTGGGTCCAGCACACCAATATCCTGAGCCCCAGAGACTGGTCTCGGGACAGGGAGACGGGCCTGGGGGTGGAGGTGGGGGTCCTCCCTGGGGTCGCTGGCCAGGCACTATCCTGAGATCATTCCTGGGCCTGTGTTTACCTCCTTCCCTGTCCCATTCTATGCCATATTCAGCTTGGGTATTTCTCCTCTGGCTATCAAGTAACCATTTCTCTCTGGCTTCATGCCTATTTTCTGCCTTCTGAAGTTTTGGTGGCAGAAAAGGTGGAGTCTAAGACATTTCTGTCTGTCTTTCTGTCTTAACAGTGAGTAAGCTCAGGACTTCCAGCTAAGGCCAGTCACCCTTTCCATGGGCTGGGACTGGGCAGGGGGACAGAGGGGAGCAGAGCCCCAGGGATCTGACTGGGGAGCACCCCGTTCTCTTCCTTGACACCCTGCACTCACCAACCTGAGCACTCCAAAACGCAAGCGGCGGCCCCAAGATGGGCCCCGGGAGCACCAGACAGGCTCAGCCCGCAGCGAAGGCTACTACCCTATCAGCAAGAAGGAGAAGGACCGGTATCTGGACGTGTGCCCCGTCTCGGCCCGGCAGCTAGAAGGAGCGGATACTCAGGTGAGGTTCTGCCTGGGCACCTGCCCAGTGGCAGCATCTTCTTTCCATGAGTTCTTATGTCACTTAACCTCCTCCCTGGCCTGCTCCTCATAGGGGACTAACCGTGTGCTTTCGGAGCGCCGGTCAGAGCAGCGGCGGCTGCTGAGTGCCATCGGCACCTCTGCCATCATGGACAGTGATCTGCTGAAGTTAAACCAGCTCAAGGTGAGGGAGGAGTGGGAGCTGAGGAGGGTAGGGGCACTGTGGGGAGGTGGCATCACGGAGACCCCTGGGGTGGTCCGGGCACGAGTGGCCAGAGCACTTCTGGCCTGGAGGTCTGAGGAGTGGCCAGTGGCTGGGTTGAAGGGGATGCCCAGTGGCACAGTCTGCCTTCTGCCGTCTAGTTCCGGAAGAAGAAGCTTCGATTTGGCCGGAGCCGGATCCACGAGTGGGGACTGTTTGCCATGGAACCCATCGCTGCTGATGAGATGGTCATCGAATACGTGGGTCAGAACATTCGCCAGGTGAGGCTCCACCCCTCGCCCCTGACCTGACACGAGAACCACCCAGCCTTTGGGTGAAAGCCCATGCTCTTATCTGGCTCCCAGACTTAGCCAGTGATACCTGCCTGTTTTGTTCCCCTTCCTTCCGTCAACAACTGGTCATGGATCCTAGTAAACTAGCTTCCCTGGTGGCTCAGCAGTAAAGAGTCTGCCTGCAGTGTGCTCATATCTGGCTCCCAGACTTAGCCAGTGACACCTGCCTGTTTTGTTCCCCTTCCTTCCGTCAACAACTGGTCATGGATCCTAGTAAACTAGCTTCCCTGGTGGCTCAGCAGTAAAGAGTCTGCCTGCAGTGTAGAAGACATAGGTTCCATCTCTTGAGTTGGGAAGATCACCTGGAGAAGGAAATGGCAACCCACTCCAATATTCTTGCCTGGGAAATCTCATGGACAGAGGAGCCTGGCAGGCTGGGGTCACAAAGAGACACGACTGAGCAATTAAACAACAGCTAGTAAACTAGATGTTAGTGATCCAGCAAGAAATAAGACGAATATTATGTCTCCCTTAAAGAACGTCACAGTTTAGTGGGCAAGACAGGTACTGAACAAGTAACTCCAATAAAGACTGGTGCTCGGTTGATATGAAAGGAGATATTCAGGGAGGCAAGAGCAGTAGGAGTGACTTTTAAAAGCAGAAGCTGAAGGATGCTGAGGCATTCCCAGGCCTGAGTAAGAGGAAAGGATGCTCCCTGATGTAGGAGGCATATGCAAAGGCCTGGAGGCAGGATGGTCACTTGAAAAACTCGAGCCAGTGGCAGTAAAGTGAGGCCAAGGGGCCAGTGGAGGCCAGACACCACAGAGCTTGGGAGCCATGTTAATGAGATTGGGCCAATGGTGAGAAAAGTTGCCGTGAAGCAGTAAGCAGGAGAGGATTTGGAGGTTAGTAAGCTCCATCTGACTGCTGTGTGGAGAGAACTAGGTGGAACTATTGCAGAGATCCGGGCTGAAGGTGGGGGTGGCCTGGACAGGCTAGGGTTTCAGGTAGCTGGCAGAACCAGGCAGCCAGTTGGTTCTGAAAATGGAGGGCAAGGGCTGAGGCAAGACAGTTTCTCCAGGCACTGCCTTTAGCAGCTGGGAGTAGGAAAGGCTGCCAGCGAGGAGGAGGAGCGGGTGTGTGGTCAGAGGCCTCTGGTCAGGACAGTGCCCAGGGGATGTCTCATGGGTGACGCCCAGCAGTTCCACTGAGGTGGATTTTGGCTGGAGGTAGGAGTTTGGGAGGAGTCCCCCCACTTAACTGGCTGTCGAAGGCCTGGAAGAGAGTGAGTTTGCCCAGAGGGAGAGTGCAGAGGGTGAGGGTTTATCGGGCTGTTTACTGGGAAAGGAGTTACTCCTCCTCACATGAGAATGTGGGCCCTGATGCGGACAGTGGTAGCCGTAGGTCCCGATGTGAAAAGAGGGTCCTGGGAGAAGAGATGAGTAGGGTTCAGTCCGTGAAATAGGTACTGTCATTTCAGGAACCATCCCAGCCCCTGAGAGTCTGGGGGCTCCCCCATGGATCAGGCAGACCCCCCCGGGAGGAGCCAGTGGCTGCTTCTCCTGCCCCGTGGCCAGTTCATACTTCCCTGGGGTCCTTCCTCTGGGTGCCCCTGTCATAACAGCAGCCAAAGGTATTGGGAGGTGTTCGTCAGAGGAAGTCCTGGAAGCAAAGTCAGAAGTCAGCACCTTGGGGTAGCGGGTGCTGGAGGGAGATCTGTGGATTCAGGACAGGCCGGCGTGGCTCCCGGGCTGGCAGCTGGGGGACCGTCCAGACACCTCATCGCAGGGGCCAGTGGAGTCCAGCCTGGCCTGGCAGGAAGCTGAGGGGCAGCCCCCTGACCATCACCCCCTGTCCCATTAGATGGTGGCTGACATGCGGGAGAAGCGCTATGTGCAGGAGGGCATTGGCAGCAGCTACCTGTTCCGCGTAGATCACGACACCATCATCGACGCCACCAAGTGTGGCAACCTGGCGAGGTTCATCAACCACTGCTGCACGGTGCGCGGACGGGGGCCGGGCAGGGCACGGGGGGAGGGGACGGTGGGAGCTGGGGGGCGTGGGGGGCGGCCGCCACTGACACTGCCCTCGGCCTGCAGCCCAACTGCTATGCCAAGGTGATCACCATCGAGTCCCAGAAGAAGATTGTGATCTACTCAAAGCAGCCGATCGGCGTGGATGAGGAGATCACCTACGACTACAAGTTCCCGCTGGAGGACAACAAGATCCCATGTCTGTGCGGCACGGAGAGCTGCCGCGGCTCCCTCAACTGAGGTGGGGCAGGACTGGTGCCCTCACCCCTATTTATTCCCCCTCGCCACCCCGAGCTCGCAGCGCTCCCAGCCTTAGTGGGCTCAGGGGGGCCCACCTGCCCCCTCTTGGAATGCGGGCTTGGGGGCCCTGAGCCCAGCGAGGGGGCCTGAGTCCCTTGAGGCACCTTCTGCGGGACCCCTCTTGCCCCTGCCCTCCCTCCCATACCCCCAATTTTTTTTTTCTTTGCGGAGAAGAAGCTGTAAATGTTTTGTAGCTGCCAGCAGCTGTTTCCTGTGGAAACCTGGGGTGCCGGCCTGTACAGATTCTGTTCTTGGGGGGCCGCCCAGCCCCCATGCTTTGTGTTAATGGGGACTCCCCCTCTGTGCCCTGCGTGCACCCCTCCCCAGTTTAGGGGTCTCTAGGGGGCAGTGGCCATGTTCTCCCCCTGGAGGGGGCCCTGCGCCCCCAGTCCTGGGGACTCCGTGCCTGGAACCCTGCCTCATCTTCTGTTCCTGCCAGACCCGTGGGTCACCCTCCCACCTGGTGTCTGGAAGCTCTGGCTTTGCCAGGCCAGGATGGTGGGGGGCAGGCCCTTCCTGTTGGGCTGGACTGTATATATGTTAATAGTGCAAACCCGACGCCACATTTTTATAATTGTGATTAAACTTTATTGTACAAAAGTGCTTGGTCAGTATCTTTGGGAAAGGGGTGGGATGGGGATTGAGGACAGAGGGTGGGACAAGCAAAGATCGTGGGGGAACAGGTGGCCTGCAGTTTGGGGTGGGTAGAGGGGCTTTGGGGCCAGAGCCCAGACCTGCAGACTCAGCCCCCATCACTTTGGGCCACCTGATAGGCTGGACCAACCATCCAAAAATCCCCGCCAAGGCCAGCCAGAGCCGGGCCAAGGTCAGGCCTCCCTTCCCTTCCCAGAGCCACAGCTGCTGGTTCTCCTGGGAGGTCCACCAAGAGGGAAACACTGATGTCATGCGCCGGGAGTGAGGTCACCCCGCCTGCCCAGTTCTGCAGCTGCCAAAAAACCCCTACTCAGCACCCACCCAGCAGGTTCTGCTCCCCCATCCCCATTCCACAAGCTCTGCTGGAACCAGAAGCCCGTGCAGCACAGAGTGGCCACCAGAGGGTGCCCTGTGGCAAGGCTGGGAGGTGGAGAGGTGGAGGCTGGGCTGGTCTCTGTTCCTGGAATGGGCCAGGAGGGAGGAGGAGCAAGCGGAAGGGAACTGTGTGGCGCTGGCCTAGGAGACACACAGGACTGCCTCGGTGCCTAGTTTGGGCGCCCTCGGACTCTGGCTGCAGGTAGGTCCCTTCCCCCAGCTCCACCCTTCCCGCCTTCCTCTACCCCGCTGTCCCAGCTCTCTGCCAACCACCCTTCATTTTTGGCCCCCGAACTTCTCCCTCTCCCTCAAACCCTGACCCCTTCCTTTGTGCCAAGCCCGCCCCCTTATCTCGGGAACTGCAGCTGGCAGGGTCAGAGGGCAGGTAGCCTGGCCACTGGCACCCACAGCCACAGCCTCCAGAAAACACTCCGGCCCCTGGATCACTGCTCCAGGCCACTGAGCCAGAAGCCCCTTCTAGGAGGAGAGGGGCAGCCTGTGCTGGGGCAGTCAGCGGCAGGCCACCCAGGTGAGGCAGGTTGTCTTTCCCCAGCCAGGTATGGCCAATTCTGCCCAAACCCAGGAGCTGGTATACCTGGTCACAGGTGGCTGTGGCTTCCTGGGGGAACATGTGGTCCGAATGCTGCTGCAGCGGGAACCCCGGCTCCGTGAGCTGCGCATCTTTGACCTACACCTGGGTCCTTGGCTGGAGGAGCTGAAGACAGGTGACTGGGGGGAGGGGCGGGGGAGGGGCAGCAGAGGGTGGGGAGGGTGTGGACTCCCTTCCGAGTGGCGGAAAAGATGATGCCTGTTATGTCTCTCTGATGGGAGCGGATAGGATGAATGAGTCATTAGGAAAATGTGGCTCCCGAGGGTGTGGGCCGAGTCCAGCAGCTGGCTGATGGTCTCAGCTCTGACATTGCCTCTGGCTGCCCCTACCCGCTCCCAGGGCCTGTGCAGGTGACTGCCATCCAGGGGGACGTGACCCAGGCCCACGAGGTGGCAGCGGCCGTGGCCGGAGCCCATGTGGTCATCCACACAGCTGGGTTGGTGGATGTGTTTGGGAAAACCAGTCCTGAGACCATCCACGAGGTCAATGTCCAGGGTGAGAGGCTCCCTACCTGTTCTGACCACATCCTCAGTACTCCCTGGCCCACGGCCTGATCTTGGCTGTTTGTTCCCTGCTCCCTGTTTGACCCTGACCTCTGTGATCACCCTGTGACGATCTGTCCCTTCTGCCCCTGTGGTGGCAGGCCAGTCCTCGCTGACCTCTATGGTTCTCCCCAGGCCTGGGGAAGGCGGGCATGTGTCCTCGTCCAGTGTTGGGATGGGGAGGGGAAAAGGCGGATGGGGAGGAAGTTTCTGTTTGGACACACAGCCCCCTACCTCCCTCAGGCACACAGAATGTGATCGAGGCTTGTGTGCAGACTGGAACACGCTTCCTGATCTACACAAGCAGCATGGAAGTTGTGGGGCCCAACATCAAAGGCCAGCCCTTCTACAGGTGAGCTGAGGTCCCCCCAGTCCTTCCAGGGCCCCACCTCCCCTCAGCATTAAGAATCTTCCCCTCTCCCCCTACTAGGGGCAATGAGAACACCCCCTATGAAGCCGTACACCGACATCCCTATCCTTGCAGCAAGGCCCTAGCTGAGCGGCTCGTCCTGGAAGCCAATGGAAGGGAGGTGAGACTCGAAAAGATGAGACGTGGGAGATGGGGCTGCCTGCCAGAGGCAGAACCAGAGCCTGTGGGCTTCTTTTTTTTCCGTCTGGTCACACTGCATGGCATGTGGGATCTTATTTCCCCAACCAGGGAATTGAACCCTCACCCCCTGCAGTGGAAGGGTGGAGTCTTAACCACTAGACCTCCAGGGAAACCCCTGGGGCTTTTGGTTTGGTTTGGTTTTTGTTTTTGTTTTTCTCACCGTGGGCTTCTTTGCATCCTGCCCTGGTTTCCTTCCCTCTCCAACCCGAAGGGACCAGGGCAGTGGACAAAGCGCCAGATCCTTGGTCTGAGCAGGGCATGCCTTTTTTGCCCCCAGGTCCTGGGGGGGTTGCCCCTAGTGACATGTGCCCTGCGTCCCACTGGCATCTACGGCGAAGGCCACCAGATCATGAAGGACTTCTACCACCAGGGCCTGCGCCTGGGGGGCCGGCTCTTCCGGGCCATTCCAGCCTCCGTGGAGCATGGCCGGGTCTATGTGGGTGAGGCCCGGGCTGGGTGGTGGGGGAGGCTAAAAAAAAAACAGGGCAGGACTCGTGTGGTTCTCGGGGGTGGGGGGTGTTATATACTCTAGCTAAAAAAGGACAGTTTATACATGGGCCAGAGCAGACTCTGATATGTGGGCATCGTCTTCACAGGCCATAGGGGAAACAGTATCCTAATGAGTGGGGAAGGCTGACATAAACACCAAGTCATAGGCTGAATGTGTTGCAGTTTTGAGGGTAGCATCTCCTCAGGAGAGAAGAAGGGGGAGCATCTCCCCAGGACCAAGAGAAGAAGGAATTGTACCCATACAGGGGAGCATCTGGCTAAGGTGCCTGCAAGAAAGCAGCCTTCAGCAGGGCGGTAGTTATGTGGGTGATATCTACGCGGATGCAAGGAGGGGGTGGCTTGTTCATGCACTGGCCCAAAAGACAGCAGCATCTATATGGTTGCCAGGGCACTCAAGGACATCTTCCCCCCATTCTCTCCTCGGCACCCCTGCCCCCACCCCCACAGGGAACGTGGCCTGGATGCACGTGCTGGTGGCCCGGGAGCTTGAACACCGAGCTGCCCTCATGGGCGGCCAGGTGTACTTCTGCTATGACAACTCGCCCTACAAGAGCTACGAGGACTTCAACATGGAGTTCCTGGGTCCCTGCGGACTGCGGCTGGTGGGCACCCGCCCCCTGATGCCCTACTGGCTGCTGGTGCTCCTGGCTGCCCTCAACACCCTGCTGCAGTGGCTGCTGCGACCGCTGCTGCTCTACGCGCCCCTGCTCAACCCTTACACTCTGGCCGTGGCCAACACCACCTTCACCGTCAGCACCGACAAGGCTCGGCGCCACTTCGGCTACGAGCCCCTGTTCTCCTGGGAGGAGAGCCGGACCCGCACTATCCGCTGGGTGCAGACCGCGGAGGGCTCAGCCTAGTGACGGTGCAGTTGGGCCTGGAGCCTGGTGTGGCACGGCATCGTCGGGTCCCAGAGCCCTCAGACCCTGGTGGGGAGGGCAGGCTGAGCCAGAGGAGGGGGCCGATGCCAGACTGGCGGTCCCAGAGCCCTCCACCTTGGAATCCAGGAGCCTGGAGCCTGTATCTTAATGTCCCTAAGTTCTAGGGCAGGATTTGGGGGCAGGCGTGTCTGTGTCTTCACTCTCAACTCAGGCCTCATGGCTAATTAGTGAGGATCTGACCGCCCTGATGCTCTCAATGACGCCATCCCATTTCTGGCGTTCCGAGCAGAAGTGGGCGGAAGTTCTGCAGGCCCTCATGGCAGGCCCTTGGATGTCCTTTGTGATCCTCAGGCCTGATTTCAGCGTGAAGACGCTTTCTTAATTCTTCCCACCACCTTGGTCCCTGCTTGGGGGTCACAGTCCCATGATTTTAAACATGTATTACCTTTAGACATTTATCTCTTAATACTCGTCAATAAAGGCTGAGGAAGTCTGTGTATTGTCCCTTCTTGCCCCCCACTCTGCCTGAGGTTGCCCCAGTAATGCATACCTGTCCAAGCCCTGGATTAAAACTCCTCTGAGCCTGTGCCCATCCGCCCGGCCCGGGGCCCCCCCCCCACCTCCCACCATGTCTCTGCCACCCCCACGGCGCCCGTCCCGGGTGGGGACAGAAGGAAGTGAGCACACAGCACGCCCGCTGTTGGATTGGTTGCTATTTCTCCCGTCCCACGGGGCCCGACCCGGCCCGGGGTGGGGGTGGGGGGCTCTGGGGACAGGACATGCAGGGCGGGGGCGGGGGCAGAATTTTCCTGTATTTTATCCATTTGCAACTTGGTCACCAATAGAGAGAAATGGGACTCTGAGGGCTAACAGGAGAGGATGGCCTGGCTCTGGGCCCCCAGCCAGGCCCCAGGAGTCCTGTCCCCTCCAGGGAGGAGAGGGAAAGAGCTCTAGAAACCAACGGAGAAACAGAAGGGGCAGGGGCTCATGTCAGCAAACACGGCTACATCACGTGACACGCCAGCGACACAGAAACACACGCCAACGCACACGGCTGCACAGCAGGCGAGGGGGGGCGGTGGGGGAGGGAGCCGGGGGCCACCCATCTTGTCCTCTACGGGGCAGGCCGGGGGTGGGGCAGGGTGAATGCATAGAACACATCATGTACACACGCTCGAGGCGTGGCAAGAGCGTGCATCAACCCACAGGCACATGGGATGGACACGCAGTGTGCTTCATGAAAGGCAGGGCTAGGGAGAAGGGGGTAGGGGAAGCAGCGAGCCCTGGCCAGGCCCAGGACCACCCACGGGGCACACAGGGGCTTGATGGTGGTAGGGGCTTGGCGAGAAGGTGGGCAGCACACACTCATCTGAGAACACGCAAGAGACACCAGCCCCCAGACAACAGTTCCAGGACAC